ACAATTTTTAGGGATCCCGTTTTTTTACTAAAGAAGAAACTTTCTTTTTCTTTTTTATAATTGATAATAAACTTATATATTTGGAAAATTTTGCTAGAATCCGTAATATTTCGTCGTTTTTCTATTCTTAAAAATAATTGCTGCAATATTTTATTCGGATTATTAATAATTTGTCTTAATTTTCCGTTTTTAAATCACCAATGGTAACCAATAACAAACGAAGCATCAACTTTGTTTATGATGCGCTGATTGCTCAAGCGATGCGTTTCGATAACTTTTCGGATGCGTTTTGGAAAAGTATACGTTGTAAATATTTTGTAGTTCGGCGTTATGGAACATTATACTTTGTACGTATGCAAAGCAATTAACGTTTTGGAAGCCAGCCCAACTTTACAAATTCTTTTAACATTTCATTAGCGACATTAGATTCTACTTGACAAGACTTCTCACAACAGAGAAAGCGAATACTGACATGCAACAAAAGAAAATGGTAATACAAGTTATCCGGTATGCAGTCTTTCAAAATAAACAACCCCGAGTACAATAAAAAATTGTCGGTATTCTGTCGATTTCCAGTTGCTTATTTCATTCAGATCTCGACTGAGTCTGGATCGTAGACCATTTTTGTTTTGAAATAGGACAAATAATTATGAGAATATAAATGATAATATAGCACAAACACATTTTTGGAAGGTTAAAAATGGAATAGATTTTAGGACAAAATATCTTTTATTTAAAAAAAGAACCCAACGAAACAAACTGCATCCAGTTTTTAGTGTTTTTGATAACAGGCATACAATTAATTGAATAAATATATTTATATATTGAAAACAATGAATAAACAATTTTTCATCGTACAAAGCATTAAAACATTTCACCTAAAAAACCAAAAGCAAAATTCCATTCAAAAATAAATTAATTAGAGGCCACTGAGATTAGGAAAATTTTACTCACTTACACAAAATGTGCCGGCATTCCTCATGCGCGTTTTGCCAGTAAGTCTCCCTCACACATGCCCGTCTGGAATATTTACTTCGAGGGTAGATATGAAAACGGCCGACATAATTTGCTGTGGGTGGAGAAAACATAGCAGCGCTCTTTTCTAATTGGTAAAATTCTTTGGCGTCTCCACTTGTCTTTTTTTTAGTTCTGACATAGTTTTGTCTAAATAGTAGATATTGTTTTAACTTCGTGAGTATGAAAAGTTCGTAAATATTACTTACTTTTACCTATCAAAATAATGAATTTAAAATATAATGTTGAAGCAAAAACTCAAACGCCATTGGTCACGTGGTCTACATATGTAGACCAGTTATATTTTAGCCTTGGTACAATTTCCAATCGCTCCCCCTCAGCGCACCTAATACACTGATCATGTGAGCAGACGTACATATTAGCAACACCTACTGAAAAGCGCAACTATCTTAAGAAGGAAAATTAAAAGATAGTACTATTTTAAAATAAGTGGAGTACGCTCGTAGATCACGTGACCATTGTAGGGTTAATAAGCAACTGGAGTAGCTTTTTAGTTACTCCTATGTCAACTAAATGCATGGGTTCTAACGGAAATTGAAATATTTACAATGCCAATATTTACAGATTCTACACTATCTAAATTCGTCTAAATGTTATATCTGCTCTATTTTTAAACGAACTATCTGTTCTTAATTCCCCAACGTTTTGAAAAAACAGACCCTTCTTTATAAATACTGTCCTTGTTAAAGACGTTTAGGGCAGCTGGTGTGCCACATTTAAAAAGTCTTACACTAAATTCTTTTAAAACCTGGTTAGATCCCACCCTTACACCATTCTGACTTGACCGAATTAGGAAAAGCTTCTACATGCCCCAAAATGGGCCACAATCCCCTATTAGAGCTTTTCAAACCATCTATACCGACATCTATCGAAATTCTCNTTTTTTCGGTGATTTTGGTAAAAAATAAAAAAAACTTTGTGGCAACACTGCAAAGGCCCCTATTATGAGTTGCACNCAAAATCTTTGAAATTAAAATTATATTGTATTCCTAAATACAAAAATTCCTCTTCAGGAAAACGTCGAATTTCAACTACTTTTCTACTTGTACCCAAAATGGTTCTTGCAGTTAAAAGTAACCCGTTCAGTCCAGCATTATGTAAGGTTTGTATGAGGTCCGTTACGCTATTTTGCGAAATACTATTTTTAATTGCCCACGTTTTTAACCCCCTACAAATTTGCTCACTTAGGTTTTTGTTNTGTGGTCGAAAGTGCTGATCGAACGAATTTTCATTTCGTATTATGGCGCTGATTCGAATTTCGCTCGTTTCGGTTGTTCACAATATGATATTTTTCGCCGCTGACAAGCTTTGTTTACGAATCGANTATATTCATCGATATCTAATTCAGGAAACACTTCCATAGTGCTGGACGTTCATTAATTATTTCGCGGCAAAATGTTTCTCTACTCGCGGATGGAATATCATTGTTTTCTAACCCATAAGTCGATTCATTCAATTTGGGAAACTTCACAACTGTTGCTTTATAATAAGTCTTTTCTTTACTTATAAGGTTAGAAAGCGTTCTTCTATGCAGTCGCAGGGAAATGCTAGCTATAATTTTTATACCCGAGCGCACTANAATGAAATAAAAAAGATAGCGAGTTTATAAAAACGCGGTAAAAATTAGCATTATTGTTCTGGTTGAACAATTCGTCAGACGATGAGAGCTTATAAAACTGGCCAGGAGTAGAAATACAAANTTAGACAAAGGCCCAGCGTTGCCGCTTTGGTAATCTTTAACCAAAATTGGTAATTTTTTTCTTTATTTATCAAGTTTGGTAATTTGGTAATTCATATTTCAATTTGGTAACTTTTTCTATTCGGTCTTAGATGGTTCTGCCTCATCGTGTTGGTNATCCAAATCTATTTAAAATATATTAAAACTATAAACAGCTCTATGATTTTGTTCTCAGAGATCGTTCCAACTGAGTATTGAGATTTTCTTTCACACGTAAAACCAGCCCTCCGAGCTTGTGTTTAGTATTCACGAAGTTAGAACTGCATAAANGCCTATTGGATGGTTTGCAGCCAGGGGTATCCGGCTGTATTCTAACGGCGCTCTCCTGATACCGGGTCACCTCAGGAGGTAGAATGACCTTGCCACAGCGGAGGGGACCGCTGTGGTCGACAACTCCCTTTTCCCCCCCTAAATACGTAGTCCGCCACGCTCGCCACGTCGAGCAGTGCGGACGTTTTTGAAAATGATGAACCCAAACTNTGTTTAAAATTAGTGTCTAGCCGCTAAAAAGTAAGAAAACAAATGCAAAACCATAAATTTTTAACAATTTTCTAATACTTCGCTACACCATCGAAAGCTAAATTCTATTCGAAAGAAAATTCGATACTCAACGAATATTTCCACACGGTTGCATAGCTCATAATACGAATTTCACGTTCGATCTTCGATCTTCGATAACCAGCGAAGATCGAAAATCGAATGCAACTCATAATAAGGGTCAAATGCACATATACATAAATGATCAGAATGAAAAAAGGAATCGATTAAGCGGTGTCTGTCTGTCCGTCCGTCCGTCTGTGCACACGATAACTCGAGTAAAAATTTAGATATCTTAATGAAACTTGGTATGTGTTCCTCTTTTCGGCGTAGGACGGATGGTATTGAAAATGGGCAAAATCGGACAATAACCACGCCTACTTCCCATATAACGTTAGTTTTGAGAAATACGAAAACTGCGATATTTTAGTAACTACTGAAGCTTATTCACTCAAAATTGATATTTTCAATCACTTTTAGACGAAAAATAAGAATATTGTAAATTTTTGGAAAATGGACGTTAGCGTGGGCCGAAACCCCGCTTTTTTGCAATTTTGATTGGTAATAGCAAAAATATGGTTCATTATGCTTTAAAAAAAATCAGTGCGAAATTTGGAATTTTTTTGGTAAACATCCTAGACTCGCTTAAGTCCATCAAAGTTCAATATGCTCAAAAAAATAAAAATTGATAAATAAATTAATTAATAATTTTTTTTACTAAAATTGCAATAATCTTCGAAAGTATTAGTCCTACATAATTTGGTATTTGGACCTTTTTTGTAGAGAATCGAAGTTAGTTAAGAAAACATTTTTTCTAGTACTTGAACTTTGATGGACTTAGGCAAGCCTAGGATATTGATCAAACATTTTCACATTTCACAGATTTTTGCTATTACCAATCAAAATTCTAAAAAAGCGGACTTTCGGCCTACGCTAATGGACGTAGCCACGTCCACTTATGATTACACGTGTATATCTTGGGAACCGCTCCACCAATTTCTGCCAAGGTTGGTACGGTTGTTGGTCTTGGTACCCAATTACTGAAAATTTTTTAAATCGGACAATAGCGACGCCCACATCCTATATAACGGTAATTTAGAGAAATACGAAATCTTCGATAAATCAGTAAATACCGAAGCTAATTTATTCAAAATTGATGTTTGCAATAATTCTTTGGCACAAAATACGTTTATGGTAAAATTTTGGAAAATGGGCTCGGCACCGCCACTTATGATCACATATATTTATTTCGGTAGCCGTTCGTCCAATATGTATCTAACTTAGACTTTTTTACTTGTTATGGTTAAATTACTGACAGGCTCAATTTCAAGTCCGTCTCTTCTAGCTGTGGTTAACTTTAATGTTCCCTCTTGTGTATCAAGACACTTTTGTCCCCTATTTCTGAAAGCCTGAAAAACTATGCCAGGATTTTAACTTTCATTCCAGCACGTTTGATATATTAGATCCGCTTTTCAGTATTAAGAAAGCGATGCTCTCCTCTCTCAATAAATGAATTATTAACACAAAGACATAAAATCAGCTGATGAATTTAGTTCTGTAGCTGAACAGTTTTAGATCTCGACACTTAACAAACTCCCGCCTTTCGTGACTCGGTGCAAGGATTTAAAATAATGTTTCCGTACCTCGTGCGGATGGTCAGTAAAGGAGGGTAAAACCGTTGGGATTTATAGGTTAGGTTAGGTTACACTGGCCGGCTGTTGCGCCTTACATAGACCCGTTGGTCCTTTGTAGTGCCAGATGGAGGTCCGTTTTACTGCGGTCTAAAGTAGTCGTCGTATAGGACGTCAACGCTTTTTGCGAAGTTCAAGNGCAAGGTGAAAGTTGTTCCAGCGTACCTTGGCTACTAGAATTGTGTAATCTTTAACAAACTGCTTGAAAGTGGCCATTGCTAAGTATATCCACCGCGTCCTTTCCTGGAAGGTTTTGGGTGGTCCTACCTATCCCTGTCAGTTCGTCTGCTTTGCAATTACCATCAATTTTCCAGTGTACCCGGCAACCATATATATGAGTAGAATTCTACGTAAATATGTATGTTCACGTTCAAAAAGCTACGGCATTCAGCGGGGGACTTCACTCTGTCTATGTGTGAGTCGAAAGCTTTCCTTCAAGCGTTGAATTTTTGATATATTTTCTTGTCACTTGTTTACATACAGTGGGCGAAAAAATTATAGCCGCACCATATTTTGACAAGTCATATATATAGACATATTACAAAAAATTACCAAACTGTACAAGCATACATGTCGAGCCCCAACTGCCAAAATAACGTATGCATGTTTGTGCGGTTCTGCACATAAAATAAGATTGGTAATTTTTTGTTGAATTTGGTAACTTTTTTCGGTGATTTTGGTAAAAAATAAAAAAAACTTTGTGGCAACACTGCAAAGGCCCCTATTATGAGTTGCACTCGATTTTCGACTGTGGTCGAAAGTGCTGATCGAACGAATTTTCATTTCGTATTATGGCGCTGATTCGAATTTCGCTCGTTTCGGTTGTTCACAATATGATATTTTTCGCCGCTGACAAGCTTTGTTTACGAATCGAGCAAATTAAAATGAAATAAAAAAGATAGCGAGTTTATAAAAACGCGGTAAAAATTAGCATTATTGTTCTGGTTGAACAATTCGTCAGACGATGAGAGCTTATAAAACTGGCCAGGAGTAGAAATACAAAATATTTAAGAAATTTTGTGATCCAAATCTATTTAAAATATATTAAAACTATAAACAGCTCTATGATTTTGTTCTCAGAGATCGTTCCAACTGAGTATTGAGATTTTCTTTCACACGTAAAACCAGCCCTCCGAGCTTGTGTTTAGTATTCACGAAGTTAGAACTGCATAAAATTAACAAAAATTGTTTAAAATTAGTGTCTAGCCGCTAAAAAGTAAGAAAACAAATGCAAAACCATAAATTTTTAACAATTTTCTAATACTTCGCTACACCATCGAAAGCTAAATTCTATTCGAAAGAAAATTCGATACTCAACGAATATTTCCACACGGTTGCATAGCTCATAATACGAATTTCACGTTCGATCTTCGATCTTCGATAACCAGCGAAGATCGAAAATCGAATGCAACTCATAATAAGGGTCAAATGCACATATACATAAATGATCAGAATGAAAAAAGGAATCGATTAAGCGGTGTCTGTCTGTCCGTCCGTCCGTCTGTGCACACGATAACTCGAGTAAAAATTTAGATATCTTAATGAAACTTGGTATGTGTTCCTCTTTTCGGCGTAGGACGGATGGTATTGAAAATGGGCAAAATCGGACAATAACCACGCCTACTTCCCATATAACGTTAGTTTTGAGAAATACGAAAACTGCGATATTTTAGTAACTACTGAAGCTTATTCACTCAAAATTGATATTTTCAATCACTTTTAGACGAAAAATAAGAATATTGTAAATTTTTGGAAAATGGACGTTAGCGTGGGCCGAAACCCCGCTTTTTTGCAATTTTGATTGGTAATAGCAAAAATATGGTTCATTATGCTTTAAAAAAAATCAGTGCGAAATTTGGAATTTTTTTGGTAAACATCCTAGACTCGCTTAAGTCCATCAAAGTTCAATATGCTCAAAAAAATAAAAATTGATAAATAAATTAATTAATAATTTTTTTTACTAAAATTGCAATAATCTTCGAAAGTATTAGTCCTACATAATTTGGTATTTGGACCTTTTTTGTAGAGAATCGAAGTTAGTTAAGAAAACATTTTTTCTAGTACTTGAACTTTGATGGACTTAGGCAAGCCTAGGATATTGATCAAACATTTTCACATTTCACAGATTTTTGCTATTACCAATCAAAATTCTAAAAAAGCGGACTTTCGGCCTACGCTAATGGACGTAGCCACGTCCACTTATGATTACACGTGTATATCTTGGGAACCGCTCCACCAATTTCTGCCAAGGTTGGTACGGTTGTTGGTCTTGGTACCCAATTACTGAAAATTTTTTAAATCGGACAATAGCGACGCCCACATCCTATATAACGGTAATTTAGAGAAATACGAAATCTTCGATAAATCAGTAAATACCGAAGCTAATTTATTCAAAATTGATGTTTGCAATAATTCTTTGGCACAAAATACGTTTATGGTAAAATTTTGGAAAATGGGCTCGGCACCGCCACTTATGATCACATATATTTATTTCGGTAGCCGTTCGTCCAATATGTATCTAACTTAGACTTTTTTACTTGTTATGGTTAAATTACTGACAGGCTCAATTTCAAGTCCGTCTCTTCTAGCTGTGGTTAACTTTAATGTTCCCTCTTGTGTATCAAGACACTTTTGTCCCCTATTTCTGAAAGCCTGAAAAACTATGCCAGGATTTTAACTTTCATTCCAGCACGTTTGATATATTAGATCCGCTTTTCAGTATTAAGAAAGCGATGCTCTCCTCTCTCAATAAATGAATTATTAACACAAAGACATAAAATCAGCTGATGAATTTAGTTCTGTAGCTGAACAGTTTTAGATCTCGACACTTAACAAACTCCCGCCTTTCGTGACTCGGTGCAAGGATTTAAAATAATGTTTCCGTACCTCGTGCGGATGGTCAGTAAAGGAGGGTAAAACCGTTGGGATTTATAGGTTAGGTTAGGTTACACTGGCCGGCTGTTGCGCCTTACATAGACCCGTTGGTCCTTTGTAGTGCCAGATGGAGGTCCGTTTTACTGCGGTCTAAAGTAGTCGTCGTATAGGACGTCAACGCTTTTTGCGAAGTTCAAGAGTGCCTTAATATCCAGTTTTGAAACCTCCTCTAGTCCTTTAAACTGCGAAGCTCCGAGATAACTAAGACGATTTCTAGCTAAGGCCGGACAGAAACAGAGGAGGTGTTCTAACGTCTCACTCATGCCTTCCTCCCTGCACTTCCTGCATGCGTCACTGTTACTAATGCCCATTCTGCTTGCGTGGGATGCCAGTAGGTTGTGGCCCGTCATTAGGCCGACAACTGTCCTGCAATCCCTACGTGACCGTGTAAGCAAGAAATGGGTGTTTCCTTTGCTGCTATTGCACATGATCTTGGTGGTTTTGCATGTCGCTAATGCGTTCCATCTCCCCCTGATCCGGCACCCAGCTCTTTCGGAAATTTCATTGTAGATCGTTTTTAGCGACTTTTGTATTTCCCGTACTGGTTCGCTAGCAAGACGGATGGCACTTTTGGCAATCTCATCAGCTATTTCGTTGCCTAAAATGCCCTTGTGGCCTGGAACCCAGTATATATGCAGCCGTTTACTCTCGGCCGCCCTGTCTACTGCTTCCCTGCTTCTAAGGACATTTTCTGACGCAATACGATGTGAGATTATGGCCTTAATCGCCGCCTGGCTATCGACATATATATTGATATTTTTTATATAATTTCCTGCGTTGCTAGCTATCTCAGCAGCTTTCCCTACAGCGAAGACTTCCGCCTGGAAAATACTGCAGTACTCTGGAAGCTTGAAGGGTTGCCTGAGGTCTAGCTCGGCGCAATAGACTCCGGCGCCCACTCCATCAGCCATTTTTGATCCATCCGTGTAGATGTTATACGTTACGCCGGCGGGTCGCGTGCTCATGCGCCATCCGCCCTCCTTAACCGTAGCTTTAAACCTTCTTCCCCAGATGAAGCGTGGGGGTATGTGGTCTATTTTGTCCTCCATCCCCCTGCATATCGAGCTGTGCCCGAAGGTTCTTGCGGAGAATTCACCTAAGGCCATCAATCTCGTGGCGGATTTCGCTGCAGTGCTCTCCACCGCGATGTCGATTGGTGGTAGGCCAAGTAGCCTTTCAAGTGCCGCCGTTGGAGTGGTCCTTAGCGCTCCTGTTATGCACAGTGCAGCGAGCCGCTGTAATCGCTCCAATGGTTTTCTATACGAAATTTTGTTTGCAGCGGTCCACCATACCAGAGCACCGTAGAGCAATATGGGCTTAACTACCGCTGTGTAACACCAATGCATGAGGCCAGGGGATAGGCCCCATGTGGTACCCAGCATCTTTTTACATGCGTAAAGGGCACCACTGGCCTTTTTCACCCTTTCCTCCACATTTAGCTTCCACATCAGTTTGCTGTCCAAAATTACTCCCAGGTACTTGGTGTGATCCTTGATTGATAGCTCCGCCCCGTTGAGCCTCGGGGGTTTCCACGCGGGGATTTTGTACCTTCTTGTGAACAGTACCGCATCCGTTTTGTCAGCATTTACCTCTAAGTTGACTGTTGTCGCCCATCGATGTACGACCCTTAGAGCGCTTTCCATTACGTTACTGATGGTGTCTAGGAATTTCCCCGTAACAACTATAGCTATGTCGTCCGCATAGGCAATTAGTCTGGGTGCTTTCCCTTCGAATTTTCCCAGAAGCTCATTCGCTACGAGTAGCCACAGGAGTGGTGACAGAACACCACCCTGAGGAGTTCCTCTATGCGCTAGTCTGAGCAACCTGGCTTCGTTCCACTCCGCCTTAATTTTCCTGCAGCTCAGCAGGCTTTTTATCCATAGTAGGATGGCAGACTCTACCTGGGCTGCTTCTAGGCTTTCCATTATTGCCTCATAGGAGACAATAGGATTGGGATTTATAAAAAGAAAAAAGTATTCCGACGAACTGATAACCTCCTCCTTTTTTGAAGTCAGTTAAAAATTAATAAATCAATGGTTTTAATTTCTAATAATGATTTTATTTAAAAATACAATTTTTGTTTTTGTTGTTTTTTGTGTGGCTCTTTGTAGCCTTTAAAATTTACATGTGGCTCTTTTCGGCCTCGGCCTTGCTCACCTCTGGTTTATAAAATTGAACCAAATAAGCCACTGACTCCTCTAGTGCAGAAAGAATACGCTGCGTAAAAATTCCACCTTCTGTAGCTCTTGATTCAGAAGCGTTATGGCGCAGATAGCCTTTTTGCCTTTTTACTGTATATTTTAAATCATGCCAAACCTATTTGTTTTTCATTTGTTTGAAAAAGTAAAGTAAGATAATCAGTGATATTCAGAGATTTTCAGACTTTATCATTTATAACCTTTTGCCAACCGCTTCCATCACGAACTGGAACTTAAAGTGTTTCATTTGGTTGGAATTTTTTCCCACTCGGCTTTTACTTGGCTTTTGGTTAGCTCCTTATTCCAACCCATACCCAGTAAAGATTCTCTAATAAATATGCAACCATTTCTTCAAATTGTTGTTTATTTGTCACTTTCATTTTAAAAATTACTCACTAATGGTTATTTCGCCGACAAATAGAAGGGTAGCACTGTGGAACAAATTCAGGTTAGCAAAAGTTAGGTCGATTCTGAGAGTGAGGGGTGAAAAAAAAGGCTAAATTAAAAGACCCGTATCGCGGCGTTTGTTTATGATAGGTCGCATTTTTTTTTAATCGACCTTCGAACTTTTGGCTGAAATTTGTTGGTGGTATAAAAACACCTTTGAAGAAGAGGAAGACGAGGAAAAAGAGGAAGAAGGGGAAGACAAAGGTAAAATTCCAGAATATCTGTTGGACGAAATTATCGACCTTTCTGATGATGATGACGATGACCAAGATATTAGAGAGAGCAGTGATGTTGATCCACAGCCACCTGCTAAACGGCAACTGGCCAAATCATTAATTTAATTTATTTAATTTTTTTACTTAAAACTTTTCATAACTAACATTTCAAAATTATATTTTTTTCCATATTTTTATAATTTCTTTTTCAATGCTTCTTCAAAACCAACACTGAAAAAATTGGTACATAAGAAATGAGAAGTAAATTAATATTAAGCTGGAAAACGCAAGTTTTGTATTATGATTGTTTTCTTTTCAAATGAAATTTATTGAAGAAACTGAGAAGCATATTATAGATCAAACAGAAAGAAAGAGACTTAGTTTTGTGGAAAATATGTTCAAAAAGCATGAAAAAAAATGTTCCAACATTTTGCTTCATAAGCACTACAAAAATTTTCTAAATCTTTTTTTTTTAATGTTAATTGTTGCACAGGTCTCTAGCAATAAGTTGGCTTTAACAGATTGAAAAAATATCAATTAGTCGACGAGTTATAGCCAAAAAACCATATAAACAATATGCTGAAAATCGGCATTTGACTGCAAACATATACACCCTCATTGCGTAAGTCATAAATTAGACTAGCTGGTGCCCGGGACTTTGTCTGCGTAATAATATGTTCGTTTACAAATGGCAGAAAGAAAAACCATTAACATAAATTTAAATTTAAAATGCTTTATTTACAAAATTTCCTTAAAAACTATGTTTGACGTTTTTCGTTCGCTAGCGTAAATGAGCAAATGTTCAGGACTGGAGACGCGAGAGCAAGCGACATAAAGTTGACCGTGTGAGAAACAGCTGGTCCTTGGATCAATACCAACGGCATTTAGCGTCTGCCCCTGCGACTTGTTAATAGTCATAGCAAAGCAAAAGCTTACAGGAAACTATCCCTTTAAATCACTGATGGGCACCGCCTTGCCCGCGGGCAAAATTCTTTTAAGCTTTCTATATATTTTGTATAGACGTGAACACAGTAATATGGTAGACAGACGGAGAAAATTAATTTGAATTAATAAGCATAAATGCAAATTAAAATTTTACCCTTACAGACGGCAGTAATGCGAATAAACCAGCCGCAAGGTCGTGGGTTCGAGTCCCACGGCCAGTATACTTTTTTTATTTCTTTTTCATTCTTTTTTTTATAAGTTCTATATTTTTTTACGTTACTTTCAGTTAGTTGTTGTTGAATTTTTAACAAAATTCATCTCTAAAAATTAAAATTAACTAATAGTAAAATAAGAAATGTGATATAAAATAAAGCAAATGAAAATAAAATAAAGTAAAATTAAATATATAAATAAAAT